AACCGGAAGCCTGCATGAGAAAACCGAGAGCATGCATAGGAAACCCGAGAGCCTGCATGGGGAAAACCAGTAGTTGGGAAAAATGAAATGGTAGGAAATATGTGCAAAAAACGAGGAAAACGAAGCAACCACAACAAGGAATGCAAGAAGATAGCAGCCAAAATGAAGGGGACAGCACGGAATGCGAAAAATAGCTGGGAAATTGAGAAGGCAACATGGAAAACGAAGGGACAACTAAAAAAATTGAGAAGTTCACGAGAAAGAAAATAAGAAACACAAGTAGAAAATAAAAAAACATAAAACAAAAAATCTTGACTACATCAAGAAGAATTGGATGTCTTTGCTATGAACAAAAATCGCTCTCTTTCCTTATATTGGAACCTTTCATTCATGGTAAATCAATAGTAGATTTTATGAGCACCAATTCATTGGGAAACCTACTACGGCCAATATCTATGAGATTATTTCTTATAACTCTGGTCTATTGCCCCTTGCAACCTCCCAAATTGAGATCGATTGTTCGATGGAAATTTAAAGTATCTGAATTGCCTCATCCATTAGTTGCATTTTTTGGTTTGGTCGTGCAACATCGATTATTAGTTTTGGACTTTAAGATAAAGGAGCATAAAATAATAAATAAAGTAAAATGATTTTCTAGGATTAGATGGAGGCATTTAAAGAATATTAACAAAAATATTTTTTATAGTAAGATTTTGACTGTGCATGAGGAAGTTAATGTTATGTGAGAAAAACTAGCTAGTGATATTAAGAATATTGGAAAAGATGTGCTTGGAGTATCAAAGGGAAAAGCTCCTAATAGTAAAAATTGTTTGAGATGAAATGCAAATGTGCAAGAAAAGATTAAAAATAAAAAGATTTTTTATAAAAATTGGTTTGATTTTAAAAATTGAGATAATTGGGAAACATATAAAAATGCTCGTACGGAATCTAAGAAAGTAATATGCGATGCAATGACCTTAGCTTTTAATGATTTATATAATAGATTGGATACTGAGGGAGCAAGATATATGCATAAGTTAGCCAAACAAAGAGATAGGAGTAGCAAGGATTTAGTTCAAGTGAAGTGTATAAAGGAGATCAAAAAATATTTTTCTTAGAAGATATTCAATAAAGGTGGATGAGATATTTTGCTAAACTTTTTAATGAAGATTGTGATAATAAGATTGACTGTAGTGATCTTAGCACCCTAAATAAAAATAAAGATTTCTGTTTTTATCGACATATTAGTAAAACCGAAGTTAGAGAGACTTTAAAGAAAATGAATGGTGGAAAAGCTATTGGACCTGATGATATTCCAATAGAGGTGTGAAAATGCTTAGGAGATGAAGGAATTTATTGGCTTACTAAACTTTTAATACTATTTTGAAGACTAAAAAGATGGCAGATGAGTGGAGAATGAGTGTGTTAATTCCTATTTTTAAGAATAAAGGTGATGCATTAGATTGTGCGAATTATAGAGGAATTAAGTTAATGTGTCATACTTTAAAACTATAGGAGCAAGTTATGAAGCATAGGTTGCGGCGTGATACTAATGTTTCTCAAAATCAATTTGGATTCATGCCGGGTAGGTCGACTATGGAAGCCATACATTTATTAAGAGGTTTGATGGATAAATATAGATAAAATAAGGAGTATTTACATATGATATTTATTGATTTAGAAAAAGCATATGATAAAGTTTCAAGAGAAGTGCTATGATGAGTTCTTGAAAAAAAAGGAGTTAATAACGCTTATATTCAAATCATTAAAGATATGTACGCATGAGCTATTACTTGTGTTCAAACACAAGGTGGTTTGACCAAGTATTTCCCTATTTCGGTTGGGTTACATCAAGGATCAGCTTTAAACCCATATCTTTTTGCTTTAGTCATGGATGTTCTCACTAGACATTTGCAAGAGGATGTATCTTGGTGTATGTTTTTTTACTGATGATATTCTTCTTATTGATAAGACTAGAGAGGGAGGTGAAGGTAAACTTGAATTATGGAGGTCAACCGTAGAGTCTAAAGGTTTTCACTTGATTAGATCTAAAATGGAATATATGGAGTGTAATTTTAATAGTAATAGACCTAGTGAGGGGATTGTGATTTTGGGCGATGAAGTCATTAATAATAGTACACGTTTTAGATATCTTGGATTTATTGTTCAGAGTGATGGTGAAATAAATGGGAATATTATCAGCAGAATTCAAGTTGGATGGTTGAAGTGGAGGAATGCATCGGGCTTGTGTGATAGAAAAGTACCCCTCAAACTTAAGAGAAAATTCTATAAGATGATGGTGAGGCCTGCAATGTTTTATGGTGCCGAATGTTGGCCATTAAAAGAGAAGCATAATACTAAGTTAACTGTGGCAGGATGAGGATGCTCTGGTGGATGAGTGGCTTTACTCTTAGAGATAGGATACGAAATGAGCATATACATAAAAAGGTTGGAGTAGCTCCAGTAAAAGATAAGATTAGAGAGAGCCGCCTTAGATGGTTTGGTCACATAAAACGACGGCCTCCTGATGACCCGATTAGGCGAGTAGAGGTATTAGATTTGACTTATATTAAGAAAGGTAGAGGCAAACTTAAAAAGACTTGGTTAAAAAATATTAGGAATGACCCTTTTTTATTAGATTTAAATGAGAATTTGACTTTTAATAGGACACGATGGAGAAAAAGGATTCATGTAGCCAACCCCACATGGTGGGATAAAAGCTTGATGTTGTTGTTGTTTGTCGTGACTCTTTCTCTACAAATAAAGCTTACCTTAAGTATTATGAGCATGTCCCCTATACTAATTGGTATAAACTAATAAGGTTCATGGGTGTTGGTATCAAATATGCTTACTTTTGCAAGAAAATAATGCACTGAGGCCTCGCTACCAAAGACATTTTGTTTAACAAGGGCATTATGGTTTATAGACTTTGATCTCTTTACTATAACCATGGCTTTATTATTCTGTGCGGAGTGCGGAGGGCGTCCGGAGACCAATAAAAATGTGCCACATCACCTCATTGGTGGGTACCTAGCTCGGTACCCGCTCTCGGTACCGCTGGGTACCGTTGGGTACCGCTAAGTACCCAGAGCTTAATCAAACAGTTCTCTTGTCCAGTCTTCGTACAGAATAAAAGCTCCTAACCATGAGGAGACAACAAACACTAGTTTTTTGAACGCCTCATCTCTATGGCCATCCATGTTCTACAATCCTAAGAGGTTTACTCTTTCTCATTGGTTATCCCTTCCCCCAAGTTCTTTACCATGTCTCTACTATTCATTGCATTATCATAAAAGTTTTTTTTCCTTCTTGCACTTCAAATCGCAACATACTATATTTGGATCAAAAGGAGCAATACCCTATATAGAGTAGGGAAAACACTTCTCTGAATAAAATCATTGAAAACATTCACTTTATTATTAGACAAAAGAGCAGAAAATAAAGGCTTAGACTCAGACATGATGTACATAATGCAATTAAACATCTCCTTGCCAGAGATTAAGTTGCTTGGTTTGTTCATGTTGTTAGATTGGATTGGTTGTTTTGTTATATTTCTTCTGAACAATTTCTCTATTCAACTTATATAGGATTTTACTCTATGGCTGAATTTTGTCTTGACATTTGCCATCTCCTTCACTTCTTACTATTTTACTTTGAGGTTCAACACAACTGCTACTAGCCCCTCGTGCCTTCAATTTTGTGCCTTCAATTTTGCAACATATATTGATCTTGCCTTGCAGTTGTGATGGAACCAATAATTTCTTATGATATTGTTTTGAGTCTTATTTCTCTCCATCAAACCCTCTTTCAAGGTGCAAATTTTACACTACTGAATTTGGTTTTCAGGGCCACTAATGACACTAAAATTATATAATCTTAATATATTTCACCTTTTTTTATTTTATTGTTTGATCAATTTAGGCCTTTTGGCCTTTAGAAGCTTCTTCTAACTGCTCTTTGTTTTATTATCAAAGTTGGGCAAGGCCCTCAGTCCCCATCTCCGTCCCCCTCCCACACACACCCCTAAAAAAAATAAGTTGGTATTCAATACTTTTTTATTCAATATCATGGATGCAATACTTTTTATTTAAACACTAGAATGAATTCTGAAGCTATTGTTTCCCGATTCTGAGTAAAACGGTTGCTATTAAAGACGGAGAAATCCCCTGATTCATTTACAAAACAGCAGGCCTACTTATTGCCTTTCCAAAAAAATCCCACTTGTTTTCCACAACTAAAGCATTAACAAAGTTAATAAAAACCCCATAGGACTTGGATTAAATCTGTAAAGTAGGATTTAAGTTGAATTTAGCCTAAATCTTTCGAAACACTTTATAAGGGGTTTCTAAATACCACCTGGAAAATATTGGATTTAGCAAAAATTGATAAATGTTGGCTCAAATCCAAGATCTGTCAAATCTTGTTGAGAGTAAAACTTAAGAAATTTACTTCAGTCAGTACAATACATGAAATCTCTTTAAATCCCCCAAATATTTTAATCTGCAACTAAACATCAACAATGTTTGGTTACATTTAAGAAAAACGAAATCAAATAATTCTACCATCAGGATTTACCCTATCTTCAAACAAATTGCCCTCAAAGTTCTATCATCAGGAATTTACTTAAGCAAGATTTACTAAGAAGTTGTTCAAGATTTACTAAGAAGTTGTTCGGTTGCAACATTCAGCGAAGATTTAGCGAGTATTTAGGCTAAATCTTACCAAACTATTTCTTAAGCCACGTAAATCCTACTAACTTTTTAAATCTCGTTTTCCTTCAATTTTAGGCTAAATCCTTGACTTAGTAAATATTGTGGAAGAAGGATTTAAGAGACTTGCAATCTAGCCAGATTTAGCACCGATCAAGAGAAAAAAATTTCAGGATTAACAAAATCTGAATTTACAAGATTTACAAGATCTTACTTGTAGCCAAACAATCCCTAAATATATATTTAAGTCCCCATAAACAACTTATATGTTTTCTTCGATAGTCAGCGAACCTGAGATTGGATAGGAGGATTAAATTCCTCAGAGAAGAGATACTGATGAAATTCCTCAAGGGAGAGAACCGGTCGTGCGACCTTGCCCAGTAGCCGGTGCCTATGTTGTCGGATCTGTTCAATGATCCGCTCGGCATCGGCGGTTGTGGTGGCCGACTCTCCCTGCCTCTCAACCAGAAAGCGGCGGAGCTGTTCGGGCCCGATCTGCAACTCGCCTTCCGCAAGCTCGGCAAAAGCCGCCTTCACGTCGGCTGGTGGCTCTGCCTCGCTCCACCGGAACTTCCTCGTGAAGCAGAGACAATATTTGTAGCTACCCATTTGTTCTTGTCCGCCGCGCCTTCTCACTCAGCTTGTTTTCTCTATAAACCAACGGAACAAAGTTTCTGTTCTCTCTCTTATATATATATATATATTACATTACAAATATTTTGGGAAATTTTTTTGGATAAAGCCGCATATCCTCTTTTAAAACAGTTAATTGCAGCATTATAAGTTTTTTTTTTTTTTTTTTTTTTTTGAGAGAATCAAAATTGCATTAAAAAGTAAAGACTAATTACAAACTAGAACATAAAGAAAAAGCAACTGGTTTCTATTCCCAACATGGAAAGAATCTTATTGAAACCATATTTGTTAAACTAGAATTACCATAATTTGAAATAAGAACCCCTACTATTTCCATTTAAAAACCCTTGGGGTGGAGGGATACCAAATTAATAAAATCCTAAAAGGTTGATTAGTATCCTAAGAGTTTCCCAACCGGTTAAAAAATAAGAACTAGTATAATCTCATAAAAAATAAAGTAAGCTATAGAAACAATATAAAGCTAAAAGAAAGAAAAGGAAACTAAGAAAAGAACTAAGATAACAAAGAACAACAAAAAAGTTGATAATCGTCAATTAAGAACTAGAAGATATCCCTGATCTCTTCCAAATCCTGAGTCCTAATAATTCGCAGACAATAATCTGAGATGCTCTTTATACTGAGTTTCCCCTCATCAAGTAACTCCAAGAATCTCAGTGCTGTAGATTATGCCATGTAGTAGTAGGAATACATTAAGGAACTAAAGGGGAAGAGCTCTTACAAACTTTTCAGAACTAAGATCAGTCATTCTCCTTCTTGGAAAAGCTTTCCACCGTCGCCAAAGATTGAAGCTCTTTAAAAGTTTAAGTGTAGAAGCTTGAAGAAAGTTCTGATTAAATACTCCTTGTATTTCTGTTACTATTGTTGGGCGGCTAGAATATACCGGGCGATAGATGTTTTAACTATATGTCTTCAGCTTGCACGGATATCCATCACACCACAGAGTAAAACAAGACTTTTTTTACTTGAAACCTCTTGAAAGGAAAAAACCACGAGAGCCTAGTCCAGTTGAATTGATTCCCTAGAATTTGAGTCGGTTACAAAGTGGCTGCTCACTCGACCTAGGGTGAATCAGATTAAACTTAGCAACTGTCGATAGAAGTCTGCGTTGTTAGATCCGATGGTACTTGATAAGTACACCTGGCGTCACGAAAGTTGGGTGTTATGTTGGTAGTGCTGGCCTTAATGCCAGAACGTGCAGACGCGACTTAGAGCAGAACGTTGGCCTTGAGTCAGGAACGTTTGGCCTTGAACTAGAGCGTCGGCGGAGGGCCCAGATTCAATCATAAACATCGGGTCTTCAGCAGAATCGTAGGGCCTGGAACGGTTGAAGGCCTGAAGGTGGTGGTGCAACGAAGCTCCGATAAGCGATGGTCCGAGCGAGGTGTTCCGGTTGGTGGGTCGACGAGGTTCGTGGTTGTTTCCGGAGAGGTTCCGGTGGTGAGTCCGGCGAGGTTTCGTCGGTTGGTCGAGGAGGAGTCTATACTAGCTTCTCTTCTACTTCTTTCTCTCTCTCTCTTCTCTTCTTCTTAGCTAGTGATCCTCCTCTTGTGAGAATGTAGGGTCTTATTTATAGATTCTGGTAGTGAGTCATAGGCTCGTAATATATGGCGTGAATCAGTGTGCTGAATAGGGTAGTAGGTCGAAGTATGAGACGGAATCCGATATTGAATCCTAATGATTGTGCAATCCGTTTGTTGAACATTTGAAGGCCAATGTAAATGATGTCGGAATTTTGTGATTTGGGCTCGTTTGAGTCCTTTGTCTCTCGATACTTCGATTCGAGTATAAGCTCGCTTATAATTCGGAGACCGTTGGTAACTCAAATTGGGTTGAACCTTCAACAGCGCTCGGGTCATGATTTTGGCCAATTTGGATCGGATTGGTGTCGTAATTTGGTGTCGTTGTGTTCGTTATTCTTCTGAGACGGCTCAGTTGTGAAAATATAAGTTCGCTAAAATCGATTTCAACTGCTCTTTGATTTAATTTTGAAGTTTTTGGTGTAGTTTTGCCTCGAGGGATATGCCATTGATCAAGATAATTTCTATGAATACATACATCAATGTGCCCTATTTTAAGGATCATGCGTAGCTTTCAGAAGTAACAAAAAATTGCATGCACCATTTTTAGAGAGATGTTTTTTCGAGGTGAGGGTCAGAATGTAATCTTGTGGTGTAGGATCTACGCATACGGACTGTTGCAAAGTGTCGAAATTAGATTGATAACATCGAAAAAAACCGTTGTCCGGGCTACCAAAATCGTCACAATTTTGGAACTTTCTGCGGACGAAAATTTGGGCCGGGAATGAACGGGGCGGCCGAACCGGCCGGCCGCCGGCCGTCACCAGCCAATCGGCAGCGCTGAGCGACGGCTGCCCGCAGCATGCGCGCTCGCGCCTGCGCCTTGGCTGCACCCGCGCGCTCGCACGCCCGCTCCTAGGTCGCGCCCACGCCATTTCGTGAGTCGCTTGGTGGGTCGCTTTGGCCCACCGCCTCAAGTGGGCCCCACTCTTTTCAAAAATGATTTTTTATTCATTTTTTGCCGAAAAAATTCCTAAAAAAATCCCAAAAAATTCCAAAAAAAATTCAGAAAAATTTGGAAAATTCAAAAATGTTCAAAACTGCCTTCTTCTCCTCTGAAGACTATAAATAGGCCCCTAAGGCCTTAAGAAAAATAGCCCCTCTTATCCTCCTCTCTTCTTCTCCCTCTGTCCTTATAATTGAGGCTTTCCCTTGGTCTTCCAAGGCCTCTCTCTTTGCAAGGAAGTCCGGAGATTCTCCGTTCTCCCTCTATTATTACAATTGAGGCTTTCCCTTAGTTTTCCAATTCCCCTCTCTTTACAAGGAAGTCCGGAGATTCCCCCTTATTTCCTCCAACATCCTTAGGAGAAATGTCAGGTAATCATCTTCTACCGAAAGATCCTACGATCCGGGGAGCCCCCGTCGCACCGTATGATTGCGAGTAGAGGCCAAATCCTTTCTCCCTCTATTATTACAATTGAGGCTTTCCCTTAGTTTTCCAATTCCCCTCTCTTTACAAGGAAGTCCGGAGATTCCCCCTTATTTCCTCCAACATCCTTAGGAGAAATGTCAGGTAATCATCTTCTACCGAAAGATCCTACGATCCGGGGAGCCCCCGTCGCACCGTATGATTGCGAGTAGAGGCCAAATAAGGAAGCGAGGGTGAATGAAGCAGCGTCGACTGTTACAAATGACTACCTATTCCTTTTTCACAAAAATTATCATTTTTCGAATGATGTGAAGACGATGGTCCCTAGGAGGTCTGATCGAGCCAGTCTTCCTCCTCCCGGGTACTTGACGATTTTTGAGACCCACTTGCGGGCTGGTTACACTTTCCACCTCCTACTGAGTTGATTGAAGTTTTACAACGGTGTGGGGTGAACTTATCCCAATTTTTATTCAGAGCGATGTCGGTGATTGTGGGATTGATTGCTCTCTTCAGGGATCGAGGAGCTACTTTGACACCATAACATCTTTCACGGATGGGTAGATTTACCAGTGACACGCATGGACGTGTAACCTTCAGATCCAAATGGTTTGATGTGAATACTCATTATCCTTCAAAGAACTGAACCAGTATATTTTTCTTTGTGAATAATGATTGGATCTTGATAGAGAAGTGGGGGAAGATGAAGGATCTGCCATCCCCTCTGCACATCAGCGAAGAAGATATTATGAGAATCTTGAAAGTTCCTGATCTCGATCATCTTTTATTTGAGGTTTGTCATATGAGTAGATACACCGAGGAAGAGTTCTTGTTCAAGGTTGGGTTGTCGTTCCATGCTGGGAGGTCTGATGCAAGGATGTTGAAGCCGACTTCCAAGGTCCCGGAGCCTCCTGCCCTAACTTCAAAAGTGGCCCCCAAACGACCGGCAAGGGGTGAAGATCCCCAAGTTTTGAACAAGAAGAGGTTGGAGGGGACTGCGACAAATACTAAGAAAGCCCTATTTGACTCTTCCCCAGCCAAGTTACGCATCCCTGAGGATGTTTTGAACCACCAGTGTATTGGACACAGGAAAACTAGCAATTTGGTGAGTAACATATCACAATGCTTTTATCTCATTTTCTTTTGGGGTGACTTCTAATAAACTTTTCTTTTTTATTTCAGCTGTCATGTCTTAGGATCGAGATTAATGACTGGAATAGTGAATTTGTAAAGATCAAGTATCTTCAGGGAGAGCGAAAGTATGACCATAAGGTCAAGGAGGTAAAGGTGCTTGAAGAGGAGTTGAGCGAGTGTAGGACTGAGTTGGCCAATACAATGCACTCCGTATCTCTCCAAAATCGGCAGGCAGATCGGCATCAAATAGATCTGGAGGAGGCTCAAACGACAATCACCAGGATTTTGAAGGATCAGAAGGCTTCTGAAGAGAGGATAACATCACTTGTGGCAAAGGATAAGAGTCTCATGTTCTTATAGCTGAGAAGGAGGCTGCTTTGTATGGTACATAACCTTTGAGAGTTATTGAAGATTTCAAGAAGTCTATAGCTTTCAAGACCATCATTTAGGATCATGTCCAAGAGGCTCGAGATCATGTCTATGATATAGAAGTGAAGGCTTTGGAGCAGCAGTATACTGAAGATGGATTCATTCGGAGCTTTTAAGGGGGTTCGCCTGATGCAGCGAAAGACCGGAGTTTAAGTCGAAGGGGTGACCCCTAGCCAGACTTCAGATGACTTTCTTGAGGTAGAGAGTGATATTCGGAAGGTCCTTGATTTGGATGTGGATAATGACGTTGTAGATATTGAGTAGGATTTTTAGTTTCTGCTGTTTGTATTGCTTTATCTTTTTTTAGGGATTGTGATATACTTGATGTTTGTGTTGATATGTGATGTCTACTTTGATTTAGTAGTGAATTGTTGATGTATTTTTATCTGGCTTAAACATTCTAGTGCATTTATTCAACTTGAGTGAATTTTATTAATGCTTGTTTAAGGTACTTGCATTCCAACTTGTATGGAGAAGTTTAGGAGGATCCACCAAGAATGTGTGACCCATCCGA